GGTATTTTATCGTCACATGTTATAACAAGAATATCAATGGCAAGAGCTCTTTTCAGTCGCTGCTTTCTTTTCCTCATGATGATTTTTATTTTTTCCTTTATAATCCGCTGTGAAAGTATGAAAAAGGACAATATATTCGGCACATTTGTGGTCTGTTCTCCCGAAATTAATTTACAATATTCCATTAATAATTCACTGGAATGCAAGGGTAAATGTAAATATATATTCTGTCAAAATGACCAAAATCACTTTCATATAGTGTCACGTAATGCTGAAGTTAATGAACATGTTTGATTAAGGCTTGTTATACAGATATATATTTACCTACTACAGTGATATATAACCAAGACTTGCGCTTATGGACCTATATTTGGTCGGTTGAAAGTACCTTGTTGATTCTTTTAAACTTGATTCTAATTTCATTTTAATGTTCGATGGTTGAAGGGTGAGTCGATTAATGACATCTCATTGTGACACCTTTTTAGCAGCGTTTATAGCGAACCTTTCACTCATTATTTAAAGCTTAAATTTACTCCCATTCACGCAAAGCGGCATGGGGCGTAGGAATAAGGTGGATAGTCACAGCGTGTACAAATAACAAGGTCACATAGACACCAAATTGCAGCTCTGGCAGCATCACATCAGCATTAATCTATTATGTACATTAATCATTCAGTGAAGATGTATAATTTCTTATATGTGTTTTACCTTTTTAATATTCATCCCAATGTTGTCATGATTGATGTGTGTTGCTTTGGGACAGTTGCGTCAGTTCCAGTGAAAAGTCAGAAACCTTCTTCATTTGCTTTCTCCATGGCGACCAAACAACCAATTTTTGGCACGACGTTTAAAGCGGAACTTTTTTTTGTTTTGTTTTTTTTCATCTGCGCGTCATTCTGCACTCACGCATGCGCAGATAGTAAAATGATTCCGCCGGCCGCGTCTCCTGCTTTATAGGCTATGCTTGTAATTTTTCACCATGGAAAAAAATGCGTCCTCTTTGCGTTCGTAAATGCAAGGTTGCAGCAGACCTGGTACTGTAGCCTATAATCATTTTCTGAATGCATGGAATACCCTTTCCTTTACAGTCTATGGTAATATCTTTACCCGGATGAAAATCGTCAACGTTTAAAATATGCACTAGGCCAACAAAGCATAGCCTAGCCTCAGCCTACCTGTGCAGAATAATCCCAAAATATGCAATAGGCCTATAGAAACAGAATTACAATATGATTAAACAAAACTATTTTATAATATAACACATAATAATAAACTATAGCCTAGTACACATCATTCTAAAATGTAAAATAAAAGTAAATAAAAACAATATAAAATATATAAAACAATTTAAATAAATAATACAGTTTCATTAATAAAACATATTTAATATAATTATAATGATTCTGAGGTTCTGTGGCTGGTCAGGCTGTTGTGTGGTTGCTCTTCGATTGCCTGTGCCCTTGCCTAATACAGGTGAGTCCCTGAATGTAATCTCCCTGTGTCAGACAAATCAATCTTGTCGCTGTCTCTCAGGTTAAACTCTGTCCCATGAGTGCATCTCCATCAGGCCTTAAAACCCTGTGCTCAGCACAAGTTGTGTTTTTTTTTTTCTTCTCTATAACACACACACACACACGCGTTACTCCTTAAATTTATCTTTCATGTTCTTTGTAGTATGTTTTCTTCAGTACAAAATGATAATGCACTGATATACTTTGGGTGCACATATGAAAATAAAAAATAAAAAGAAATGTAAAAAGAATAATCTTGATTTTATGGTGACTTTAAACGACAAGTAAATTGACATGTAGTGTGCAGTGGCATAAAATAAAGCTGTTTTAAATAATAATGTGAAGGTCTGAGTGGTTTCACCTCATAGACGCCACCATTTTAAGATCACATGACCAACCAAATACTACTCACTACATCTCAGTATAACACAAACCCACATTATCTGATATGAAGTCAAATGAATAATATTACTATTATTAAAAAAATAATAATAATCCTGTAATTACTTAAAGGTGCTATAACTTTTCTTCTAAAATGAATCCTTTTTTATTGCCTGTGTTTAGGGGTTGTAATCACACATTACAATGATCCACTTGTCAGGTTTGCTATTACCTCTGAAGGCCAGTATTCCTATTTCTATGTGAAGTCTCCGGGTCGGATTTTCTGCGAAATCCATCGGATGTGACGTGCATGCAACATCTCTCCTTTTTATATACAGTCTGCGACGGCACTGCAGCTGACGACATGGAGTCTAATAACACCAAAACACTCCTGCCTCCAGCACAAGACACACTCCAACACAAACTCCACATAAATTTAAAAAAAAAAATAAAGTATCTGCTGATGCTAATCAGGCCAAACGTGAATCGGATCGGCTTAGGACGAAGAGCGTTTGAATTATGGAGAGACCTCAGCTATTTTTATTGTGATAAATTACAAGTTTTCAGATATGCTGAAATAATGGTAAACTGTAATGAAATAGCAAAGTAAACTACAACATACATGAGACATGAAATGAATACAAAAGACTGTTAACAAAAAGTAGGTGCTTTAGGATGTAACTTTTATTTTATGTACTAGATCTACTGTCTAACGTCACTCATCCAGCTACTATCATGTTGTTTATAGCACACATTTCCAGACACGTTCAGTAGGCTACAGTAATGTTACTTCCTACAATCTTACTGTTACTGAAATTGTTTAGTCTAGTTCGCTAACCGTTCTCATTATCAAATTATACATTCACCTATGTTGACATTGCTGACTGTGAAAGATACACGAATAGTTAGTGAAATGCCTCAATAGATAACACCACAAATGTAACGTTATCATAGTACGAGCATGGAACATTAGTTCAACGTCAAGCTGATAAAAGTATCCTATTATTGTAACGTTGCAGTGGAAGTTTAAATGAGTTTCCAGCATGTTGTGTGATGCTTTCTCCAGTGTGTAAGAAAGTCTCGGTGTGGCCGTGTACCATGAGTGCTCACTCTTGTGTTCAAGCATGCACAAGAGCACAAGCGCTCTTGTAAAAAAATATTGGTTGGAATCTGAAACATCACAGATAGAGGCCACTAAAAAATACATATAGCACCTTTAAGTAAGGTTATCCTGTTAAAAACAGAAAATATTTGTGTTGTGTGCTGTTTTTTTATTTTATTTATTTATTTATTTATAGCCTACCATAATCAGTAGAGCTGACTTGGATGTGATCTTAATGTAATCAGGTTTAAATTCCTGAGTCGGGCCTCATTATTTCTTATAAATATTGACAGACATCAATTTTTTTTTGGCAAAAAAAAAAAAAAAAAAAAAAAAAAGAATACCCCCTTATGACTTGCAAAACATGGTGACCCTTCCTATGCCTGTGGATGGGCACTGGGAGTTTGGGTCTGTCTTATTAGTGTGCAATATTATCATATTTCACGGACGAGCAGGCCAGAGGAGGTAATTACCTGCTCTGTGCTATTAAGCCCTGTTTTATTCCATTCATTTTCGCCTGACCAACTCAGGCAAAGGGCCGTTGGCATTTATTTCCCGTCTCTAGATTTACGAGGACCTCGGCTCAGCCAAGCCATAAAAAATCTGAGGAGAAAAAACGCTCTATGTGTCAATGTGTGTCTGCCCACATGAATGTGAAGGAGAATGCTGTAAATGTTCACACGTTTATGTGAGATTTTTCACAGCCGTGATATAAACAATATCGATCGTCAATTTCAGCATTGTTGTTATGGGAGAAAAACAACTTATTTTTATGTACAAAATGCAGCTGGGCCTCCAGTCGTAACGTCCCCTAGATATACAGGGTGGAAAAAAAGAGAAGCTCGATGCGATCTGATCTCAAGTCAGGTGTGTGTGAATCTCCCCACCTGCGAGATTTGATCTCAATCAGCTCAATGGTTTTGTTTACCTCTTGTTTCAAGATCTAAATAAAAGCCATTCTCCCACTTATCAGAGGTATCCTCAAGTTTGATAACAGCAGGCTTCTCCTCTGTTTTTCAGTTCAACCGTGTTTCCTACATTTTGCAAAGCATTTTTTTTTCATCTTATAAAAGGCTCAATATCGGATGAGTATCTGAAGCCAAGTATTGATTGTAATTTCCTGCAACGTTCATTCCAATCACAAGCTTTATTAAGAATCTCATTTCTATCTGCCATACGATTGGTGATCTAACAAGCGTGCCTGTACAAACAGAGAGAAAATCAAGAAACAAAATTAGACACCTCAGCGTCCTGTGTCTGAAATCAACATTATTGTACTGGTCTAATTTCGGATCAGTTTGTGTCTGTCTGGAGCAAGTGGGATGAAGTAGGCCTATATGCAGGGGTAAAAAAGAGTCTTCCAAACTTCCAGAGTGCCAGCGGTAAGACTGTATTGTTATCACCTTGCTGAAACTGACAATGAGACGTTTTCACTTTAGACTATTATAGCTTGAAGTTTAAGTTTAAAATGCACTGCCTTATGCAGTACCAGTAGGCCTACTAACAGAGAGACTAACACAGAAAAATATGTGTGGTTGTTTTTTATCCTGAGACAATTCGGTTTATTTTCAGTTGTTTTCAAGGTTTTACATCAGCTTTATCCTGAAGTACATGAACAATGAGTTTTACTCTACTGGTCTGGTGTAAAACTGTTAGCTGACTGATTGAGCATTCTCGTGGTTTGCTAAATGCTGCAGTTATCTTGAAACAGTTCTCTAGGTTAGTCTGCCACCATGTGGGGATAATGTGACACTGCACTCCCCAATGTAGGAAGAGATTGATATGATGAAGGCCTGTTTTCCATCACATCAGTTTCAGATAAATCAACTTTGACCATCACTTGTCTATAACATCATTTTTGTAAAAATGCAAATTGTGGAACATTTTGGAAGCAATACAAGTTAAGACATATTAAATAATTTTATGTATATGAAAAGAAGAAAAAAAATCTGGCAATATATATATATATATATATATATATATATATATATATATATATATATATATTTATATTGGTTATTTTAATAGAAATAAAGTTATGAATCAACATTGTATTTGTATTTACAAATATTTATTTAATTCATTTATTAATAAACTTAAATTATTTAAATTACACTGTCATTTGTAATTACACTGTCATTTCTGTCCTTCACAACTAAAAATTCAATACCAAATTTCAGTCCTAGACTAGGACTAAACAATACTGTAGTGCCTCATTCAACAACCCACTTACAATCATGAGTAGTCCTACATTCAAACTTACTGTTGTGTGTGATTGTTCAGTTTTTTCAAGGTTTATTCTTGTTATGTATACCCATCTGAAATTTTGAAAGTCTTTTCCTGCTTTTCCCCTTTTTTCTTATAATTAACTTTGACAGTTTTTTCGTCGTGGGTGAAGTTTTGTTGGTAACTCCAGAGATTGTTCCTGTGTTGTGCGTTGTTTTAAGGGTGTTCAGATGTATTTCAGGTGTTTCGCGTCTGGTTTCTGTTGGTGGCGAAGTTGGTCCACCTGTCCCACATGTTGTCACAGTACTCAAAGAAGATTCTGGGGTTTTTTTGGACACTGAAGTCGGTCGGTTGGTTGTTTTGGTTGTCTCAGTCTCTGGTCTAAATGTTTCGATTGTCGGCACTATTCGTGATGTTGTTGTACTCGTGCTGGTCTCAGTCTTTTTTCCCGGTGTTTTGTTTGTTGTAGTTAGGCCTACAGTTGGGATCGTGTCTGTTGTACTGGTATAGCATATAGTAGGTGTTGTTGTCGTTCTTCTATCCACTATACACATTGCTTTCTTAGCATACTTGCTCTCTGGATCTGAACAAACCACTTTGTTTTTCTTGGTGTAGAATCTGCATATGAAAAGACAATACTTTATGTTTTAGCTTTCGTTGTTTAATTATTCACACAAAAATAATTATAAATAAATTAAACTTTTAAATTGTAATATAATATAACTTTGTACATGCCTTACAGCTCTGATACCACACAATGCTGGATCCTGCATGTCATATTTCACAATGTTTTCAACTGGTGGTTTGATGTCCGTCGGATAACAGCACGCTACCGGATGACCATCACCTATTGGAGAAGCACATCATTGTGTTCAGTTCAATTATCATTACTTTCACAGACACATACTCTCTCTTATAAAGATACAATGTCAGCTCAACTTTTCTACATTTCATTCAAGTGAAAGTTTCTGAAGTCAAAACCACATATTTAAACAGAGAGCTCAGCAATTCAAATAATCAAATCTCACCTGTTCCTACAACACTCATCCATGCTATAGAGAAAAGAACGGCAGAAAACAGAGAGAACTTCATCTTGTTCTTTTGCTCACTTCTAATTCTGAAACCTTCTTTTGGGCTGAAGGGTCTATGTTGAGGGAGGTCTTTCAGCCCACAAAGCTCACCACCCTCTACGATCACTTTTCTTCGTCACCTAGGCCCACAGACACCTCAGTCGGGGACAGGAAAAGATGATTGATGAGTGGAAGCCAAAAATGAGAGAGAAAGAGATGCACTCAACCACAGAGAGGAAAATAAGGGGTTACAGAATTCACAATGAGCATTCAACATGACTAAATTCAGTTCACCGTGGCCTACAGTTTTGCTGCAAGTGCCATTAATTTGAATTAATATTCTATACATAGTTTTAGCTCATAAAAGCTCACTTGCAGCCTCTGTCCCTGGTTAGGTTTTTAAAAACAAGAATTAATAATATTATTATTTAATTTTTAGGTGTTTTTTTTATTCTTTTTAGGTATTAAGGTAGGTAAATAAAATAAATAGACTATTAAGAAAGTGGGGTAGCATAAGTTGGTCACTCACATTCATTCTCTGTTCTGTCTATCATCTATGTCGCTTTAGTGTGTCCTTTCCTGTTTGTTCATGACTGTGTTGGAACTGAATCTTCATCCTCTTCTGCCTCCCTGCAACCCATGATACAATGCTGGTACCAGATGATATTACCTTAGCAATTACAGGTACTGATTCTACATGATTACAAAATTAATCTACACTGAAAAACTGGTGTAGAAATAATTTTCCCTCAGAAAATGCAAGTAAATTTCAATTATTGGCAAGTTACACATTAATAAAAAATAATGTATGTTAAAAATGTGCTAAAAAGGATTAATTGTTCCAAGTTTAAAGAATAATTGTTTGAAAAGATTATAGCACAATGTTCATTTGTACTGTATCTGGGGTCCATCGAAAGTCTTTTTCCATTTACATGGTACTTCATAGAGTCATAGTGTCCAAGAAACATGGTATTTCCATGCTACCATGTCAAAAATGTGGTACTACAATGGAACAATATCATAAATGCACTATATATAGAGCTAGACCTGACTACATTCACAAACTACTGTTTCTAAATAGAAATGGCTTGTCTCATGTTACGCAATGTTTATACAGCAATGTCACATGCAACAGGAAAAGTATAGACAGAAAAAGCTTTGAAGTTGACTTGAACAAAAAAAAAAATAAAAAAAAAATGACTTCACATGCATCTTAATTGAAGCTTTGTGCACTTTGTGAGCAATAGAATGTGGGTCTGTTAAACGTGTGTGGAAACTACAGAGGGCTTAAAGGGGCTGTGATCATGAAACCACAAACGTTTTATTTAGCCTTAATGGGATCTTCCACGTCTCCGTGATACCTTAAAACAAAACCAGCTCCCACCCAGCACTCACCTACACTTAAACAGAGACACGTGAAGCTGTTTTAGAATGTCATTTTTCTTTTGACGGCAATTAGAATGATCAAACGTACATGGCTAATGCGATTATACAAATGTTTGGCATTTTATATAGGTTAACATTTATGAGTTTATATGTTTACTACTGCCCCACTACACTGGTCCTTTCTGGTCTTATATGAAAGTAAATATGTAACCCTAAATGAATAACCACATGCGCATTTCCTGTTTCAAAATCACATTAAAGAAACAGGGTGCATGATGTCCTCTGAGCTATTTGTAGAGTTCTGGTAGATGAGAGATGGCAGACCACAGGATCACACTCTGTTCGGCGAAAGGAAGAAGTGACAGCAATGTTGCACATTATGCAGTACATACTAAGTTCTAGTAAACCAAAGAGCAGCCAGGGTGCCATATGTACACATGTCTGAAGTTTCACTTTTCACTGACCAGAATTACACAATCTTGACCTGAGTCACTGGAAAAGATTACAGTTGTATTATAATTATGGTTACGGTCAGATTGTTTGTTAATACTTCAAGTTCTGGAATTGAAAAGCAGGTTTCCTGCAGTATAGTGGAAAAAGTTTTGAAGTTCCATAAGTTAAGTTAATTAGTACTTATGAATGTATTATAATGTCACTTATAAGTAAAATGCCTCTAAAAAAGATAAACTCATACATTTGTTTTTTATACTCAAAAAATAAGCTATAATACAATTGAATTTATCTTGAACATGGTCATTTGGTTGCTGGAGACCATGGGGCACAAGGGTGCTAAGAGGTTTTTGTACAATTTGAGATAAAAACAGTAAAAATAAAAAAAAAATATTATTCTTTAAAAATTAAATGTAATAATAATTTGTATATATTTTTCTCAATTTATTAATGCCAATGTTACTGCTCACTGGCAGCACTATTATTATTATTATTATTATTTTAATTAAAGTATTTCTACAAGATTTTATTATTGGGTCAAAAATAATACACAGAATAAACAACAATTAAATATTGTATACAGACAATATTTTAACAACAACTTTAGTTCAATAATAAGCTTTTATTTTATTTAACATACATGCTGTCTACATAATGTTGCTATATTTTTCACACACAGTGAGTTTATGAATGGAACTTATGGGTCTTATTTAAGAAGGGAATCGCTTTCAATGGGTCTTAGGGTAGCTGTGAGAAAAAAACAAACTAACAAACAAACAAAAAAACATGTTCAGCAGAGTCTGGAATATAAAGATGAATAGACTAACCCGAGTGATAACGTTTTGACACCCTCCCCAATCTGCCCACTATACTTCCTCCTCTCGTTTGTGCTGGAGTCCTGAAATATACAGTATGCAAGATATGCATCTAATACTATATTCACACAGTTTTGAGAAAGGGGTTAGGGTTTGATGTAATCCGACTGCTGCATTAAATAATAGTTCACTCAAAGTTTTGTGCACATCTAATTCAGGCATCAGACACTCTATATTTGACCATTTATTATGTAGCCAATAGCAGCACCATGCATACATAACAATACATGCAAAATATAATATGAACAAAATTACAGTACATGTTGCTAGTTAATATATTTTTGATTAAGTAAATTAAGAAAACAATACACAAAATACAAGGTATCGCACAAAATGTGAATATAAAGATTATGGCAAAACAGACAAAATAACTGTTAGATTTATAAACTGTTATAAACTGTTAGATTTAAAAGTTATTCACTCACCATTGTAATATCAGTATACTGGAATAAAAAGCCATACAAAATATTTCAAAGATAAGAAGTTTTGTAGGCTGTTGGATAGAAAAGTGAAAACGTATTCAGCATGCTCATTCTTTATACAAAAGCCATGCTGCTTTTTCACTGTTTTTGCCAAACCCCTGCCTGGAACCTGCGGAGCCCTTTCTTGCTGCGAGACCTGTAAATTGAAGGGGGGATCTAAATTATTACTGCATCTGGGTATCACAACTTCATATTGTGCAAATAACTTTGAACTTACTTGATGTGATTTTTCAAAATGGATTTAACTGGGATTGTGGTGGTTGTCACAAAATTACAGCAGCTTTCTGGACCCCCATTTCCTGTTAGAGAGGAAAAAAAAAAAACCTAGCACAGGTTCCACAAAGCATACGAGTGTAGGCCTGGTGTCAGACAACATCTGACTGCCGCAGGGGTGACGGAGGAAATCACAGGGTTAGCCATTTCTGGGTATTGGGAACACTACTGGAGCAAATAGACGCACGTTTTCGACCCATGGGGCGGGAGTGGCGTTGCAAGCCGACACTAAGAACGCAGCCCATTCTCACCCCCAAGGCGTCACTTAACTGACGCCTTGGGAAGCATTTGGACATGCTTCAATATCTGACGCTTTAGGCGCCCTTTAGCGTCAGTAAGATCACGCCCTAGGATCGCGTGTACCCTACCCCCACCCCACACCTAAACCTAACCGCGTCCTCTAACAGACGCTTTCCTTTAGCGTCAGTTAGATGACGCCGTAGGATCGCGTCATGTAAGTGACGCTAAAGGGCGCCTAAAACGTCAAATATTGAAGCATGGTCAAAGGTGACGCCTTGGGGTGAGAATGCGTTGAAGAACGGGTCTGGAGAAGAGCATATTATGTTGTTCTCCACAGTTATGAATCTGTAAATATGTAAATGTCTACATCATTTTTATTTATTTATGTATTTATTTTTTTATTGGCCCGCCTCCACCCCACTCTTCAGAGGACAACTTTATTTTTCAAAAAGCTAAAAATATATCCACAAATTTCCTACGCCCCATGAGGCCTTGCATCAAAAGTGGGCGTGACTTCCGGTTCGAAGTAAACAAAGCTGCTACTTGACATACTTCACACTCGTTCATTCAACAGTTGACAGTCATTCAAGTTATAGCGATCCAAACTAGCTAACGATGTGAGAACACAACCTCAACGAAATTCAAAAGGGTGAAATAACAGTACCTTTACCATCTGCAGTAGTTGATTGGGAGTATTATTAACATTATTAATAATCAATACTCATCAAGGCATGGTGACAGACAGTTGTGCGAGCTGACAAACAATTAAAATAAAAAATACACACTTAGTCATTGTGCTTTGGAGTTTATTCAAAATTATAAATGTGCTACTTGAATACATTAACTGGCATATTTGGTATTCTGTCAACACAGGCTCTGATCCTGAGTTTAGGTGTAACATCAGTAGCGAACAGCGAAACACATGCTGATAGAGTTTATAGAATATTAAGAATTTAAACAAATGTACACAGGACGAATTCGTCGTCTTTTGGGAGGTGATGGAAACTACAGTCGTTGGCAGGATCAGAGACGGGCTCTGGCAGGATCACTCTGATTTCGTTTTCGGCTTTTGTTTAAAACAATCACGTTTAAGCCACTTAATTAGTTTAGTCCGGTTATACATACAACCGCGAACAGCACATGTTGTCCCTGAGCTCCGTAACGACATCTCTTATAAAGATTTGCGTCTTTAAATAGTAAAATAATTCTCCGAAAAACAGCTAGCCTCTTCGCTAACTAACACACAAAATACCATTGGAATGCTACTTCCGCCGCCTCACCGGAAGTTTCACCTAGTTTATTTTTTACAGGAGCGCCCCTCGGAAACTTGTGGATACACTACATGAATTGTTTTAATATTGTATTTTAAAACATACATACCCTTGATGGTCTCAGTGTTTTTTCCCGGTGTTTTATTTGTTGTAGTTACAGCTGGTATTGTGTTTGTTGTACTGGTATAGCATATAGTAGGTGTTGTTGCCGTTCTTCCATCCACTATATACATTGCTCTCTTAGCATATTTGCTCTCTGGGTCTGAACAAACAACTTTGTTTTTCTTGGTGTAGAATCTGCATATGGAAAGACAATACTTGATGTTTTGGCTTTCGTTGTTTAATTATCCACCCAAAAATAATTACAGATAAATTAAACTTTCAAATTGTAATATAATACAATAACTTTGTACATGCCTTACAGCTCTGATACCACACAATGCTGGATCCTGCATGTCATATTTCACAAGGTATTCTAATGGTGGTTTGGTGTTTGTCACAGTAAAACAGCAGCTTGGTGGAGGACGATCACCTATCAGAGAAGCACATCGTTTTCAGTTAAGTTACCATTACTTTCACAGTCACATACTCTCTCTTATAAAGATACAATGTCAGCTCAACTTTTCTACATTTCATTCAAGTGAAAGTTTCTGAAGTCAAAACCACATATTTAAACAGAGAGATCAGCAATTCAAATAATCAAATCTCACCTGTTTCTACAACACTCATCCATCCTATAGAGAAAAGAAACGTCTCGGTTACGTATGGTAACCCTCGTTCCCAGAGGAGGGAATGGAGACGTGAGTCAGAAGTGATTGCGAGAGCCTATCTACTTCGAGTGTAACTAAATGGGCCAGTGCACATTGGCATGCAATAATTGCACCAGCTGCTGTGCATCACGGAGCGATCATATAATGAGCGGAAGGTGCCTCGCATCCATATTTTTCCTGCTAAGGCGCCGGACCTGTGACTCGGCCATTCAGCAGAAGCTCAGCAACTGTGGAGAGGGGACTAACGTCTCTGTTCCCTCCTCAGGGAACAAGGGTTACCATACGTAACAGAGACGTTCCCCTTCGTCAGCTCACTACGACGTACATCAGAAAAGATTCTGACGAATGGGGATATCTACCAAAACGCCACTGCTGTTGGCCTTTCTAGCGCTCCGCTTGAGTCTCCTGGCCTGACCGCAGTGTTGGGCAGAGAGTAGGAGGTATAAGCAGAGAAGGTCAGTCACTCTTTCCCTTGGGAAAGGGGACAATAGGGAAGCCACATCCTACCCTGGAGGGAGGCACTGTGATGGATACACATATGGAGTAACCAAGCAGGGGAGTAGAACATATGGCAGTCTCTGGGGTGGTTCCAGTCTAGTTATTGGGGGGAAAGAACAGCGGCAGGGATGACAGAGCAGGCTCTGTTGAGGGAAAGACATGGGCTCGAATACACATATGGGGTCATTTCAAGGACCGCTACGTATGGACACCCAGCCTAACACAGGTTCCACAAAGCATACGAGTGTAGGCATGGTGTCAGACGCTCCGCAACGTCTGACTGCCACAGGGATGACAGAGGAAATCACAGGGTTAGCCATTTCTCGCGAACACTACTGGAGCAAATAGACACACGTATCCGGCCCATGGGGGCGGGAGACGCGTTGCAAGTCGACACTAAGAACGAGTCTGGAGAAGAGCATATTATGTTGTTCTCCACAGTTATGAATCTGTAATTATGCAAATGTCTATAACTTTTTTTAATATTGTATTTTAAAATGTACATACCCGTGAAGGTCTCGGTCTTTGTTCCTGGTCTTTTGTTTGGTATAGTTACAGCTGGGATCGTGTTTGTTGTACTGGTATAGCATATAGTAGGTGTTGTTGTCGTTCTTCCATCCACTATATCCATTGCTCTCTTAGCATATTTGCTCTCTGGATCTGAACAAACCACTTTGTTTTTCTTGGTGTAGAATCTGCATATGGAATGCATATGTTTTAGCTTTCGTTGTTTAATTACCCACCTAAAAAATAATTACAAATAAATTAAACTTTCAAATTGTAATATAATATAACAACTTTGTACATGCCTTACAGCTCTGATACGACACAATGGTGGATCCTGCATGTCATATTTCACAATGTTTTCAAATGGTATTCTGGTGTCTGTCACAGAAAGACAGCAGCTTGGTGGATCACCTATTGGAGAAGCACATCATGTATTCAGTTAAATATACAGATACAATGTCAGCTCAACATTTCTACATTTCAGTCAAGTCAAGTGAAAGTTTCTGAGATCAGACCACAATATTTAACCAAAGAGTTAAAAAAATGTAAATCCTTAAACCTCACCTTCTGCCACAACACTCATCCATCCTATAGAGAAAAGAACTGCAGAAAACAGAGTGAACTTCATCTTGTTCTGTTGCTCACTTCTAATTCTGAAACGTTCTTCTGGGCTGAAGGGTCTATGTTGAGGAAGGTCTTTCAGCCAACAAAGCTCTCCACTCTCTACGATCACTTTTCTTCGTCACCTAGGCCCACAGAAACCTCAATTGGGGACAGAAAAAGATGATGGATGAGTGGAAGATATTGACAATAATCCATTCTAATTAAAATGTTTATATGATTATCAAACATCACTCCCATTTACATGCAATTTTCTTATATAAATGTTATTATAATCTGTGTTGTCAGCAATTGTTCACTTGTTCTCAGAGAAAGAAAAAGGGTAGCCTACAGGTAGGGAAACAGAAAGTAATATACATTCAAAATCTCTGCACTCCATTTTACTGTAATTGTTTACAGCGAATGTGCATAATTGCAGTAGGCATGCAGTTAAATCGCAGTATTTCCTTGAACGCATTAATCACTTAAGTGTGCATGTAAAAGCAGTGTAATTGGATATGAGTTTTAAAAAGCTGCAGACCTAAAAATCTTCTTCTTACAACTCAGCGTCTTTCGAGATCGGAGAATTTAATAGGCCTAAATGAAAACGAAAGTAAAGCCTAAAGTCGAGAGAGAGAGAGAGAGAGAGAGAGAGAGAGAGAGAGAGAGAGAGAGAGAGAGAGAGAGAGAGAGAGAGAGAGAGAGAGAGAGCATGTGACTGTGACATTAAATAGAATTTAATTTGTATTTTTGTCGTTTTAAAAACAGTTGATAACATAGCCTACCTCCACGTTCTCTTACTAAATACGTTTAGAGTCGTGCATACCGTTAAATCTGATAGTCTGTTTACAGATGAAGTCTTTAGGCTAATTCGCTATTCACATAAACTTCCCCACTATATATCATAATGTTGTTGGTATGAATGTAAACTATTTTATCCAATTACCTGTAAATGAAGAAGTAGGCTTCACTTAATGGACAAAAAAGATCGGGATTTGAACTCCTTCAATAGGCTAGTAGCTACACCGCAATAATAATGGCTGCGTCCGCAGGCAGGAGAGTAGCAACAATCTAGGGAACATGTCCTGTCTACTGAGATATACCATGGGGGGCGTATGCACTGTAAACTGTGTGTCAACATTCTGGAATGACCTCATTTGATTCACACATGTTCATAATTGTTAATACAGCAAATAATAGCTCCTTAATTATTTTAGAGAGCAGAGATATGTTTTCAAGACGGCTCTATTACGCGCAGAGGATTGCACATGAAGAATGTGACTGGATTATTGTTGTATTATGTTATTATGACAATGATTATAATAGTTGTTAATGTTTTTTTTTTTTCTTTTTCTTTCTCAAGCATTTAATAAAAAAATAAAAATGATGAATGTGATGACACTTCACTTTCAAAATCTTGTATTTAAATTTCACAACACTTAAATCTTTATTCATGTTTATTTTTAAAAGCAACGCCTTAAAGGGATAGTTCACTTTGAAATTAATTTTTGGTATATTTTAGTTTATCTTAAAAGGTGCTATATGTAACTTTTCTTCTAAAATGAATCCTTTTTTATTGCCTGTGTGTGAAGGGGTTGTAATCAGACATTACAGTGATCCACTTGTCGGGTTTTGCTATTACTTTTGAAGGCCAGTATTCATATTTCTATGTGAAGTCTCCGGGTCGGATTTTCTGCAAAATCCATCGGATGTTTTACAGTCACGGCACTGCAGCTGACGACACGGAGTCTGATAATACCAAAAAAACTCCTGCCTCCAGCACAACACAGACTCCAACACAAACTCCAAAAATATAAAAAAAACTAAATTTTACCTGCTGAAGCTCGTCAGGCCAAACGTGAATCGGATCGACTTAGGACGAAAACACATGGCAGGGCGTTTGAATTATGGAGAGAACTCAGCTATTTTTATTGTGATAAATTACAAGTTTTCAGATATGCTGAAATAATGGTAAACTGTAATGAAATAGCAAGGTAAACTACAACATACATGAGACATGAAATGAGTTGCCTTAGAGTTTCATCCTCCAATAATGAAGCACAACAGTAATCTTACATAAATTATTATTTCATTGTCTGAAAACACGTTTGCTAAGCTATAATGTCATCTCCACTAAAATGAAGGCATTACAAGTTACTCCAACAGTGTCAGCGAAGTGTTCATTAAAATGTTTAATTGTTGGGCTATTGGGGATGTGTTGAGGGAGGTTTTTCAGATCTCATTCAATAACTGATGCATGCACACCAAAAAACTTGTTATATAGTAAAATTGTCACCTGAAAAAAAAATGCAGTTAAAATTAATGTAAAACAATATTGGATTAACATCAAAATCGAACCACGTCTAATGTTAAAATGTATGTTTTAATGTAACCTTCTCCCTTTAAATGCTTTGGTCAGTTCAAGAGTAATTTATGCATTTATGCATTATTTGATATTATTTATTTGAAAGAACTTACCCAACACTGTGCACCAACAATGCCCATATTTGTTCTAATTAAAATTATAATTAAACATCTTCACTCCAGTTTAGACGCAATTTTCTGTTTTGCATGTTCTGTTTTGCCAGAGCATCTTTCATCTCTGCAAAATGTTATCAGTGAGCAGAACAGGTAGTGAAAGTGATGCTTAGCACACTCAAAATCATTTTAAAGATGAATACTGTGATGGAACTGGAAATTTGGGCAAAATATCATAGGGTACATACACTGACACAGGCTACAGCCTTATTTCATCTGCAAATATTATAATTTCAAAGTCATGTGAGTATTTCAGTTTTGCAACACAGCTTAAACAGGGTGAGTATCCTTATGACTGTCTTTAAAAGAACTTGAGTTGGGAGAATAAGATGCACCAGATCTGCGTCATGTGCATTAATTTAGAGATTTGATTTGAAATTATTACAGTAGAAATGTTGAAATGTTATGTGCAGTTAATTGCAATCCATTCTGAAAAAAAGAAAAAGAAAAAAAAAATCATTGATTCAGGGTTTTTTTAATCAATTGAGGGCACCCAAGTACACTTATTATGGGGAAAAGTACACATGTTTATTATGGTTATGTGTTAGTTAAATTACTAAAATTATTAAATTATTAAAATGTATTTTAAGCACATTTAGAAAACATAATACACAAAATAGAAGTCAGCACACAAAACATGAATACAAATCATGACAAAACAGAGATGAACTTTGTAAATAAAATCAAAGTGCTGATTTTTCACTACAATCACCTTTTTCATTTATTACACTTGTCATTCGGTCATCCTGGGATTATCATTATGCATAAAAGGTTGTGCAAACTTTTCAAACAGAATATGTTTTACGGCTGTTTGATACAGAAGTATTCAGCTTGTTCCTTCTTTAAACAAAAGTAAGTATTGTCAAAATCTATCTGGTCTGTTTTTTCAGTTGTTTTTCTTTTGTTTAACCTCTGTATGGAATCCTGGACCCAGTCTTGTACTGGAGAAGAGCATATTGTGTTGTTCTTCACAGTTAATATGTAAATATGCATATGTGTACACAAATCGTTTTAAAATTGTATTTTAAACATACATACCCGTGCTGGCCTCAGTCTCTGGTCTAGATGTTTCGATTGTCATCACTATTCGTGATGCAGTTGTATTCGTGCTGGTCTCAGTCTTTTTTCCTGGTGTTTTGTTTGTTGTAGTTACAGCTGGGATTGTGTTTGTTGTACTGGTATAATAACATATAGTAGGTGTTGTTGTCATTTTTTTATCCAATATATCCATTGCTCTCTTAGCATATTTGCTCTCTGGATCTGAACAAATAACTATGTTTTTCATGGTATGGAATCTAAAAATGAAAAAAAAAAAAAAACTTTCATTGCTTAATTTTCCAAAATAATTACAAATAACATAACTTTCAAATTGTAATATAATATAACAACTTTGAACATGCCTTACAGCTCTGATACCACACAATGCTGTATCCTGCATATCATATTTCACAATGTTTTCAACTGGTATTCTGGTGTCTGTCACAGTAAAACAGCAGCTTGGTGGACGAACATCACCTATCAGAGAAGCACATCATTGTATACAGAGTTGAGCAATCATTACATTCACAGCATGTACACATGTACACACTCTCTTATAAAGATACAACGTAATCTTAACTTCTCTACATTTCAGTGCAAGTCACTGAGGTCAGACCACAATATTTAACCAAAAAGCTCAGGAATTAAAATCCTCAAATCTCATCTGTTACTACAACACTCATCCATATATTGAGACAAGAACGACAGAAAACAGAGTGAACTTCATCTTGTTCTGTTGCTCACTTCTAATTCTGAAACGTTCTTCTGGGCTGAAGGGTCTACTGTATGTTGAGGGAGGTCTTTCAGCCCACAAAGCTCACCACCTTCTACGATGACTTTTCTTTTTAATATTGTATTTAAAACATACATACTCGTGCTGGTCTCAGCCTCTGGTCTAGATGTTTCGATTGTCGTCACTATTCGTGTTGCTGTTGTACTCGTAAAGGTCTCAGTCTTTTTTCCCGGTGTTTTGTTTGTTGTAGTTACAGCTGGGATCGTGTTTGTTGTACTGGTATATCTAGGTGTAGTTGTCTTTCTTCCATCCACTATATCCATTGCTCTCTTAGCATAATTGCTCTTTGGATCTGAACAAACCACTTTGTTTTTCTTGGTGTAGAATCTGCATATGAAAAGACAATACTTTATGTTTTAGCTTTCGTTGTTTAATTATCCACACAAAAATAATTACAAATAAATTAAACTTTTAAATTGTAATATAATATAACAACTTTGTACATGCCTTACAGCTCTGATACCACACAATGCTGGATCCTGCATGTCATATTTCACAATGTTTACAACTGGTGGTTTGATGTCCGTCAAAGAATAACAGCAGTCTACTGGACGAACATCACCTATCAGAGAAGCACATCATTGTATACACAGTTGAGCAATCATTACATTCACAGCATATGTACACATGTACACACTCTCTCATAAAGATACAATGTAATATTAACTTCTCTACATTTCAGTGCAAGTCACTGGGGTCAGACCACAATATTTAACCAAAAAGCTCAGGAATTAAAATCCTCAAATCTCATCTGTTACTACAACACTCATCCATATATTGAGACAAGAACGACAGAAAACTGAGAGAACTTCATCTTGTTCTGTTGCTCACTTCTAATTCTGAAACGTTCTTCTGGGCTAAAGGGTCTACTGTATGTTGAGGGAGGTCTTTCAGCCCACAAAGCTCACCACCCTCTACGATGACTTTTCTTTTTAATATTGTATTTAAAACATACATACTCGTGCTGGTCTCAGTCTCTGGTCTAGATGTTTCGATTGTCGTCACTATTCGTGTTGCTGTTGTACTCGTAAAGGTCTCAGTCTTTTTTCCCGGTGTTTTTTTTGTTGTAGTTACAGCTGGAATCGTGTTTGTTGTACTGGTATATCTAGGTGTAGTTGTCTTTCTTCCATCCACTATATCCATTGCTCTCTTAGCATAATTGCTCTCTGGATCTGAACAAACCACTTTGTTTTTCTTGGTGTAGAATCTGCATATGGAAAGACAATACTTTATGTTTTAGCTTTCGTTGTTTAATTATCCACACAAAAATAATTACAAATAAATTAAACTTTTAAATTTTAATATAATATAACTTTGTACATGCCTTACAGCTCTGATACCACACAATGATGGATCCTGCATGTCATATTTCACAATGTTTTCAACTGGTGGTTTGATGTCCTTCAAAGAATAACAGCAGTCCACTGGACGAACATCACCTATCAGAGAAGCACATCATTGTATACAGAGTTGAGCAATCATTACATTCACAGCATATGTACACACGTACACACTCTCTCATAAAGATACAATGTAATATTAACTTCTCTACATTTCAGTGCAAGTCACTGGGGTCAGACCACAATATTTAACCAAAAAGCTCAGGAATTAAAATCCTCAAATCTCATCTGTTACTACAACACTCATCCATATATTGAGACAAGAACGACAGAAAACTGAGAGAACTTCATCTTGTTCTGTTGCTCACTTCTAATTCTGAAACGTTCTTCTGGGCTGAAGGGTCTACTGTATGTTGAGGGAGGTCTTTCAGCCCACAAAGCTCACCACCCTGTACGATGACTTTTCTTTTTAATATTGTATTTAAAACATACATACTCGTGCTGGTCTCAGTCTCTGGTCTAGATGTTTCGATTGTCGTCACTATTCGTGTTGCTGTTGTACTCGTGAAGGTCTCAGTCTTTTTTCCCGGTGTTTTGTTTGTTACAGCTGGGATCGTATTTGTTGTACTGGTATAGCACATAGTAGTTGTTGTCGGTCTTCCATCCACTATATACATTGCTCTCTTAGCATATTTGCTCTCTGGATCTGAACAAACAACTGAGCATTTCTTGGTGTAGAATCTGCATATGGAAAGACAATACTTTATGTTTTAGCTTTCGTTGTTTAATTATCCACCCACAACTAATTACAATAATTAAATTATTACAATTCAATTTGTAATATATTATATCAACTTTGTACATGCCTTACAGCTCTGATACCACAAAATGGATTTGGATCCTGCATCTCATATTTCAAAATGTTTTCAATTGGTGGTTTGGTGTTTGTCACAGAAAGACAGCAGCTTGGTGGAGGACCATCACCTTTTGGAGAAGCACATCATTGTGTTCAGTTCAATTATCATTACTTTCACAGACACATACTCTCTCTAATAAAGATACAATGTCAGCTCAACTTCTCTACATTTCAGTCAAGTGAAAGTCACTGAGGTCAAAACCACGTATTTATACAGAGAGCTCAGCAATTCAAGTAATCAAATCTCACCTGTTCCTACAACACTCATCCATGCTATAGAGAAAAGAACGGCAGAAAACAGAGTGAACTTCATCTTGTTCTGTTGCTCACTTCTAATTCTGAAACGTTCTTCTGGGCTGAAGGCTCTATGTTGAGGGAGGTCTTTCAGCCCACAAAGCTCACCACCCTCTACGATCACCTTCGTCACCTAGGCCCACAGACACATCAGTCTGGGGCAAGAAAAGATGATGAGTGGAAGATATTGAGAATAATCTGTTCTAATTAAAATGTTCACATGATAATCAAACATCTTCATTCCCATTTACATATAATAATAATAATAATTCATTACATTTATATAGCGCTTTTCTCGGCACTCAAAGCGCTTTGCAAAGAGAGGGGAATCTCCTCAACCACCACCAGCAGCATCCACCTGGATGATGCGACGGCAGCCATAGTGCACCAGAACGCTCACCACACACACCAGCTTACTGGTGGAGAGGAGACAGTGATGCAGCCAATTGGTATAGATGTGGATGATTAGGAGGCCATGATGGATAGAGGCCACTGGGCAAATTTGGCCAGGATGCCGGGGTTACACCCCTACTCTTTCGAAAGACATCCTGGGATTTTTAATGACCACAGATAGTCAGGACCTCGGTTTAACGTCTCATCCGAAGGACGGTGCTCTTTGACACCCCATTACTATACTGGGGTATTAGGACCCACACAGACCACAGGGTGAGCACCCCCTGCTGGCCTCACGAACTCCTCTTCCAGCAGCAACCTGGCTTTCTCAGAAGGTCTCCCATCCAGGTACTAACCAGGCTCAGCCCTGCTTAGCTTCAGTGTGCAACCAGTCTTGGGGTAAAGGGTGATATGGCTGCTGGCTACATGCAATTTTCTATTGATATGATTGTTATTGTAAGCTGTGTTGTCTGCAATTGTTCACTTGTTCTCCAAGAAAGAAAAGAGGTAGCCAACAGGGAAACAGGTAGAGAAAGTAATATGCTTAGCATACATTTAAAATCTCAGCACTACAGCGAATGTGCATAATTGCAGTAGGCATGCATGAGCCTCGTAGTTTAATCGCAGTATTGCCTTGAACGCATTATAATCAGTTAAGTGTGCATGTAAAAGCAGTGTTATTGGACATGAGTTTTCAAAAGCTGCAGACCTAAATAATCTTCGTCTTATAATTCAGTGTCTTTCGAGAGTAGAAATGAAAACGAAAGTATCCTAAAATCAAGAGAGAGACAATGTGACTCATTAAATATAATTTTATTTTTATTGTTTTAACAGCTGATAACCACAACAACAGTTTGTGTCACTACAAAAATAAAAGTGCTTATTTTTCATTACCATCACCTTATTCATCTATTAGCCTACACTTAGAAGTCATTCATGGGATTATTAGTACAAGCATAAAAAGCCATAACAAGTTGTACAAACTTTTCAAACAGAATATGTTTTACGGCTGTTTGATACAAAAGTATTTAGCTTGTTCCTTCTTTAAAGCTGCAGTCCGCATTGCTTATAGAGTGCCGAAGTTACGACGTCACTCTGTAGGCCAAAACGCGGAAGTGAGTTAGCATTTTAGCATTACGGTTCCCTCGCTCTAAAGCCTATGGGATTTTTGAATGGGTTTTTGCTAAATCGCCTGAAATAAGGTCTGTGGTGAACAAAGCCTCTACATATTTTCACGTTTTGATCTATGACATAGAACACACAGTTATAACCAGCTTGTGGTTTTTTAAACTGTATTGTGTCTTAGTGTGTTTTTTAAAATCTTTATATTGGCTTCCAAATGTATACATTGTGGATTAACTTGTAAAGATTATCTTGCCAGACAAAACGTGTAAGGGTCACAACCCTTTGTTAAACACAGATCTTGTTTTTTGAGATTTTCCAAAAGTCTATGGGGAAAATGCATTGCTTTTTGACCAAGGGAACCCATGCGCCACTAGCTTCCGAGTTGTCCTACATAACACAGTCTCATCCCAAATCGTCATATAACTGACGTTTTGGGACGTATTTTGACCATACGTCAATATCCGCCTTTTTAGGGCCCCCTTAAACGTCGGTAGATGGCGATCCCGGGCCGTCATACAACTGACGCTTTACCTTTAACGTCAGTTAGGTGACGGGTTAGGTTTAGGGTTAAGTTTAGGTATGGGGTAGAGTTAGGATCCCATAACCTCATCTACCGACGTTTAAGGGGGCCCTAAAAAGGCGAATATTGACGTATGGTCAAAAGACGTCCCAAAACGTCAGTTATATGACGATTTGGGATGAGACCGGGTTGTCCTACAAAGTGACGTCATCACTTTGGCACTCTATTGCTTTATTGGCTGTAGTCATACTTGTGATTGGTTTTATTTTACTTCTGCTGGTCCCACTTTGAGTTTCTGTTGAGCCTTCATAACATGTTTTGTCCATCTGTCACATGGATCTGAACAAATTGCTTTATTCTTTTTGGTGCGGAATCTGTAAAAAGTAGAAGAAAATAGCTCACTGCCAAATTATCAACCCATTTATTACAGAATATGTGTACTTTATATTGTGACATAATCCTAACTTTGAACTTGCCTTATAGCTTGGATAATGTCAAAGGTTAAATTCAATAATCCATTATTATTTAATTTATGTTAGTTACATATAATTAAATTGATAGGCTATATCTATATCTGTTTATATCAGTGAAATCAGTCCACAGGAAAACAAAATGATCCACTCTTCTCCACAATGGTAACCATTTAAACCCCCTTTTCTCATTTCCTCAAAAAACAACAACAAAAAAACCCCATAAAATAACACTTAAAATAACACTCTCTTAATTCAACCATATGCAAGCATGCTGGGAATTAACAAGGTGTTGCAGCTAATGCAACACAAATCAATCATGTAATCCAATACAAGGGGATTAAGTAAACTTAAATTGTACATATATTTAAGCAGATCGAAAAATTACATTAGGGCAAAATGGCAGTTGGCTCGCACTATACTGCCACCCTCTAGATGTAAGATTTTTTTTTCACTTAAAGGTTGTATCAGTGATTGTGGGTAACGTCACTTCTGTTTGTGTTTGAAGCTAGATCCCAAACAAGTTAGCTCGCCCCTCCCTCCCGTTTCGTACATCATGAAAAAAAACGATCATGCACGATCATTTCATAAAGCAACAAAAGCACACTATTTTCAGATTGACAGTCTACCTCAATGATGGCTCATTCTGTGAACTGTAAAATGTGAACTTGGCTGCTTTGGTTTACAAAGTATAAAGATGTATATAAAATCGGCTGTCGAGTCATGTCATATCATACAGCTAGTTTTGCTGGTGCTTCACTGGAAGCAGTATGATTAAACGTACCAGAATTCATCATATAGCTACAGATCTAACATTATGGGGAAAACTCATGGTAGCAACAGCTATCTGGAATAATATTATAACAGCTTATTATTATTATTATTATTATTATTATTATGATTCGGCTAAAGTCAGTCCTGAACCTAGGCTAGTGTTATTGCTAATAGTAGGCTACGTTACAATGTTATGGCATTGTTATGGCAGTGCAGGCGCTGTGAACGAGCACAAAAACACCACTCTAATTAGGGAACATTGTGGGGCTGATGGTACTTTTGAGGGAGGTCTTTCAGATCTCATTCAATAACTGATGCATGCACAACAAAATCCTTATGTTAAAATTAAAGTAAAACTGACCTCTGTTACTCTCACAAGTACAAATATAAAAGAAACAAATTTCTCAGAATGACAACCACAGTGAGTTTTTTTTTCTTTCTGTAGCATAAGAATAGCACTTCCTTCACGTTATCAGTCAGTGCACTAATGTACACTAGTGTTTCTGAGAAAAACTGTTGTGTCGAGATGAGTTAAATACGCCAAAATGCTAAATGTTTTATATACATATTTGAACTAAGGTCTATTTTCAAAATATAACAAAACAAAAACAGCACTATTCCAAACATTAAAATAATAGAAAACACATCACACTTTAAACATATACAGAATGTATTTTATTTAAAAAAATGGAAAGGAACTTATTTTGTTTCAGCACAATATTTTCCACAGTTTTAGTCCACACACTTCTTTTTAATTCTTTTTTAACACCGCCTCTCTTTGATCTCTTTTCTTTGGCAATTCACACTTGCGCCGACAGGCACTGACCAATGAGGACAATCACCAAATTACAGTATGTCCCTACAAAATGACATTCCACAACCTGACAATTGCCAATTCAACATTTCAGTTGGCAAAAACAAGTGCCACCCAATTGCAACAGGGGCCAACAGGGGTCACAGTGATTCAACAAAACACTTGGTTCAATGTGGCAGAGCTACAGTGGTAAAGCTCAAAAACCACATTTGCACTAGCTTTAACTTTACTCTCACTTTACTTCACACACTTGCACAAGCCATAAAACCATTTACAGAGAGGGGAAAAAAAAAAACACAAATTGTGAAAATCAGCATCGCCTTGTTCATGTCAATTGGCCTAACTGATCTGACCAACTTGGACGAGAGTATTAATAAAAGAGGAGGAAACCGCCTACCTGCAAGACATACTGGTAACATAC